AGGACTTGATGTGGCGCAGCCGGTGCAGGGGAGCCTGGCTTTGGGGGCTGTGGTGGGTGATTTCAGAGGTCTGGAATGTCAGATAGGCTTATCTAGGCCAGGAGATAGCAGCCTTCCCTCCAAGCTTCACCCCTCCCAACTTCCCACCCTAGTTCCCTGCCTCCCTCTGTAGCTCAGGAACCACATAATGAGTTGGGCTGCCAGCAATACCTAGTCTGGGCTACCCCCCACTGAGGAGCCACCACAGAGGCAAAGATGGGCAAGGGGCACATTCTGGAGCAAAAGCTGTGGGGTGACCCTATTGGATGCTCGCAAAATACAGACATTTCCCTTTCATAAGTTAATGAAAGGTTTTCATTTTACAGGCTAGCCCCTTTTCTGCTAGTGACAAGAGAGTCCGGGAATCATTTCCAGTGCCTGTGATATCATGGCAACAATATACAAATGCCTTCTGTCCTGAATTGGTTACTTGTCATGAACAAGCCACCCCAGGGAGGGTTGTGGAAGGAGCCCTGGATTGGAATGGGGCTCATCCCCAGCAGTCCTCCAGGGGCCCCGACTGTGGGACCTGTCTTCACGGCCCGACCCCCGAGGCCTTTCTCTCTGGTTTCCTCCTGCCTCCATCCAATCTCTTCTTTCTGGCTCTCGCCCTCTCACCTCTCCCCACATGCAACCATATTCCCATTTCATGAGCAACACACTCTGCCTCGATTCTCTCTCTGCCTTGTGTTTCCTCTGGCTCTTCCCTCAGCAATGCAAGGCAAACTTCTGCTCATCTGTCAAGCCCCACATCAGACCTCCTCTTCCAGGAAGCAGTTCTGGACAACCTAGGTCACACCTGCGCCTGCAGAACAGTGCCCACACCTCTCTCGCAGCACTCAGGATATTAATGACAGTGATAGTTAAATGTTTATTAATCACTTGTGTACTAGGTAGCCTTATAACCACTTAACAAAAATAACCTTATTTAATCATCACAGTCACCCCATGAAGAAAGTACCTCATTTTACAGAGAATGCTACTAAAAATCAGAGATTTAAGTAAGCTGTCCAAGGCCACAGAGATATTAAGTGGCTTATTCAGTAGCTGCTCAATAATTATTCACCTCATAAATGACCGAGTGAGTACACTTCTGTCTCCTCTATTGAAAGTCCAAGTAAGAATTACTTATTAGTCTTTCAGACCATATCCACTGTAAACACCTATGAATGTGTAGGGCAAGGGAAACATATGTTAAATAAATGAATAAAGGCATAAATGAGCAAGCCAATAAATAAATAGGGCCCAAGGCCTGTCCAGGCCACCCACTAGTTTTAAACAAACGGCTTTAGCTTGCCGAGTCCTATCTGTCACCTCTCATGCACAGAGACTGGACTCGACGTTCTCACAAGCTCCTTCTAGCATGAGGGGTACATACATATAAAACAAACAAGCAGACTCCACGATTTTGTGGTTATGGTAACTCCCACACTAAATTACATACTGCGTTTTCTCCTGGTTGTTTTCCCCAGAACATTACATAATTGGATGTGGCCTTTGATCCAGGTACTACCCTAATGCACAGCCAATAGCATTCTTGAGAACGTCAGTTTGGCCTGATCCTTGGCTCCTTCCAAGGTTCATATCCTTGATTCATATCAAAACAGATCACACCCAGGGAAAGAATTATTGAGTGACTGACAAAACCCTCATAAATAATAATCAATAATGAACAATGATCCCAAGTTAGGTTATGTAACTGGCACCTAAGCCAATGTTCTAATGACCTCGCATGTCCTTCCCCCTGTCCTTTGGCACCTGTATCAGAGACCTTCTTTTCCAAACAGATCCTGGTCACCAATCTCCCCCATCATCACCACAAACACACACGTGTGCACACACACACTCACTGCCAGCATGAAGGAAGCAGCATAGTTCTCAGCACGTAGTAGGGCCCATAAATGCTTATGAAAGGCTGAAGCCCAGATACTGGAGAAATGTGTCCACATCAGTGCAGGCTGAAAGGTCTGGCTGAATTTCGTTCAGGCCCACTCTGCCTAGAGCTAACCATGAGCTTGGCTGTATACCTATAACCTGACACACCTGTGTTCCATGGCTTAGCATTAATGATCAGTCACATGCATGCAGATGCCCAGCATTTCTCGTTTGGCTAATGCTCATTGTAAATGACTACACCTAAATGACTATACCTAAATGAGGGGTGTGAGCAAGACCATATGTGTTCATGTGGGGAGAGCAGGAGGACTGAGTTTTGTGTTCTACTTGACTCACAGCAAGGAGTAGAAGTGCCAGGATCTCAGAGCTGAGCACTAACCATCCACATGAATCCAGTATGGAAAGGGCCTCTACCATAACCAAGTACAGATATATAGTTATGGTAGAAGACACCTGTTGTTTTTCTGTCTCTCACCTCATGTCCTTGGGGCTCTGCTTCTCCCTCACGTCAATCGTGTGATGCTCAAAAGGACTGCCAAAGACAGCGTCCAGCTCTCCTGGCTTTGGCTGCAATAACTAGCCCGGAGGTGAGCCTACAGGGATCCTTCCCTGAGGTTTTTTTCAGTATCAAGCAGGAAGAGAAAGATTTTAGCCTTTTGTGCCACAGGGCTATAAAGATATGAACTAGAGGCTACCAGCATGGGAAAAAAACCCATTTGCAGGGTGGAGGAATGAAGCCAAAACAAAGTAGAACATCCAAGAGACAGATGGAAGGAGAGGGGATGGGACAGACTTCGAGTGTCTGGACCTTCCTGTTTATACAAATTATGTACTGATGTCCCTGTTTTCTTTAGGGTAGTTTGAGTTGGGCTTCTGAAATGCACAGCTAAAGTGGCCTCACACAGTCACAACTGTACTTAGAGTGCATTTTCAACATATATTCTACTCTTCAGGTAGTTTTTATAAGATGGACTATCACACATTGGAAATGTCTTTGTTCCTCCTCCTAATAAGAGAGGTATAAAAATTCCTGGGCAAGAATCACTATTACTCAGCATCACTAGCTAAAGATCTTAGTTCTTCCCTTTTGTATCTCAGGTACCAATGGTGACCTGCCTACCACAGGATGTGAGGACTCTTCTATTCCAAGCCACCAAAGCTTGTAAAATAGGGGCTAGCCAGACAGGCTGGGCAACTGGCTAGTGACTTTTGAAGGAAGGACACTGACATGGAGGTCAGGCCTCCATCCCATCCCTCTGCTGGTGACTCCCTCTGAAGGTCTGTCTTCAGATTACCAAGAGAGTTCCCTCAACAGCTATTACAGGCAATGCATTTCCTAATAAAATAAGACCTTTGAAGACCTTCCCTTACAAAACATGTTGCAGCTCAGCCACCTGACTTCTGTGGCACCTTTTAAAAAGAAAGCCACCACATGCAATTACTGAGAAGAGTGATGCTTTTAAACCTAAAAGCTTCCCCAGCCTCTAAATCTGAGCAAATGCCTAGTGAACTATGAACCATAAAATTACAACAACTAGGAAGGGAGGTGCTGGGTGGGGCTGGCACATAGGACACTGGCCCCCTTCTTGTTCTCCCTCTCTCTCTGTACCACATCCATCTCCTGTGTGTAAGGCTGACGCTTGGCAGGTTGTGGGCAGGCACTGCCTGGATGGCCAGGATGCTCTGGGCTGAAGTGACTGATCCATTTCACCCTGATACAGTGATCTTCCCATCTTCCATACAGTTGTGCGTCCCAGCCTCAGAGGAGCTTGGCAGCTGTCTCCCTGGGGGCAAGGGAAAGCAGCCGTGTCCCACGGTGGACTCAACGGCTCCTCATCACCAAAACAAACACACAACAGTCCCCATCACCATGGAGAGTTCAATCCTCTTGTCTGGGATTGGCACTGACTAGAATTCCAAGGGCTCTGGCTGAGCTCTCTCCTGTGAGGTCTAAATACAGAACGCTCACTTTTAACCTAAACATCTAGTCTGGCCCTGTGCCCAGGGCAGACAGTCCCCAAGGCCCAGCCAGGAAGTCTTGACTCCTGAGTGTCCATTCAGCGGTGGGCATTGCAGAGCTATCTGAGATGTGATGATGTGCTGGTCAGCCCCACCTTCACAGATGTTGCCTACGGCCAAACAATGGGGGAAGTAATCAATCAGCTTGTGGAGGGTTAACCATAAGTGTGGTGTGATCCTGAGCAGAGAAATGCATCCTGGGGAAGGAGGTGGAATGGTAGAGAATGGGAGGTTGAGGAGAAAGAGAGTGTGTGTGTGGGGAAGGCAGTAAGGACAAAAGATCTATTTCTTAGCCAATTAAAGTCAGGGCATCTTTCTAAAATGTTTGCTCCCACGAGAACAGAGCAAATCTTTGCTCTGATTATGCCTATCCACAGAGTTTAAGGCTTGAGCACTAGACTCAGACCAAGGTTGCCCTCCAATTGCATGAACTTGGGCAAGGTGATTGACCTTTCAGTTTCCATATCTCTAAAATGGCCCAATGGACTACTGTGGGTGTTCATTGAAACCATGTATATAAAGTACCTGGCATGTAGAAGTTGCTCAATACATAGTAGCTACTAGCAGTAATAGTAGCAGTACTAAAAGAAGTAACAATGTCAAACATGTTCTTGTTTCCACTGTTTTTTAAAAAAACTTTTAGACAGAGAGAAACATTGGTCAGTTGCCTCCTCTATGTGCCCCAATTGGGGATCAAACCCACAGCCTGGTACAAGCCTTGACCAAGAATCTAACCTGCAGCTTTTTGGTGTACGACACAATGTTCCAACCAACTGAGCCACTTGGCCAGGGAGAGCCTGCCTTTCTTTTCTTTGCTTTGGAGAGGCCACAAGAATAGTTGCTAAACCCACCATGATAAGATGGAAAGTATAAGCTGTGCATGTACATACGGACAAAAAAACCCTTCAACCAAGCAAGGTGATAAAACACACTCACACCTGTTAGAAACCTCAGAATGTCAAAATGGCAACAGCTTCCTGCCCTCTCAACAAGTCAGCCGGCACGCCCCACAGGGGTCAGTACTGTCCACGTGTGTGTTCCCTTACCTTGGTGTTTATACACGACTTTCCTCGCTTATACTCTTTGTGGGATCCACGCTTGTCCAATTTGTACCACAAGGCTTTGGCCTTCCAGGTGGTCACTTTGGACTTGAGCTTGGAATAGAAGTTTCTGTGGTCCAGAGGGTCTAGGTCCAGCTGCCGTGTGAGGATGTTGAAGGCCTGGAGGGTGCCTTTGCACGTGGAAGCCTGGACGAAGTTCTCAAAAACCTGCCCGGCCTGGGTCTGCTTCTCGTCCTCGTTTTCCCCCATGTTTCAGGAGCCACGTGGAGCAGCGGTGTGGAGCCGGTGGAGGAGGACACCATGAAGCACCGGAGAAACGTCACACCTACAAAGGCAGGGGGAGGCAAAGGTGAGCTCCAAGGGTGGGCAGGGATGAGTGCTGAGAGATCAGATGAAACTCCTTTAAGATACTAAACATGCTACTTAATACTGAACATAAGCGATCTGTAGAAAATGTCCAGTCAAGCGCTCTAACCTGGTAACGCTGCCTGCTGGCAATCTCTCTCCTCACGCCTCTTGCTGGCTGACGAGAACCACAGGAAGCTCAAAGCGATTCCCTGGCTGATGTCAACATTACCTGACCAAATTTACTGTGAGACAGATGATTCTAGAAACAGTAACTAGTAAAAGGGATAAAACAGAAAAGCACTCTAGATGTAACACCATTAAATACCTCTAATTCTTTCTACAAATTGGTTGACTAATACGAGGTACCCTAGTCACATGACACTGATGCACAGACCAAAGACATCTGAGCACGTGCCTCCCTAGGCTCCATGACCATCTCACCTATCCCTGGACATCAATCGTTACGTCTTTTCTGTTGGTTACCAGAGGGCAGGTCTTTCTCCTCGATAGACAACAAACAGTGACTTCTCAAAACTTCACTCTGTTTCTGGTATCTGCTGGAGCCACAGCATCTGCTGCCATCAGAGATGCACAAGAGGAGCCTGTGCTTTGTAAGCTTGTGCCATGAGCCCTTTGGAACAAGTGCTTAGCTGATGGAAGGAAAAATGTAATGGGTGTGCATTCACATCACAAAAATAGCTTGCCTGGGTTTTGGCCATCGTCCTTTCTCTCTGTACCACTCTAACCTCAGGCATTTCTTGGGAAAGTCATTTAAGTTTCAAAGGAACAAAAATAAATGAGAGCTGATTTTCCAAAGCACTAGATATTTTTCCAGAATCCAAAGCTAGTGCAAGAAGACCAGCATGGAGGAGCTGGGGCTGGCCCAGCTGTCAGGAGGGCTTGTGGGGGTCTGTTAATGAGAGGATACAGCACACTGAGCTCCCCGAGACAGAGGCCTGGCTGGAGGAGGTCAGCAAACAGTGACAAGGCCCTCAAGCTGGGCGGTTTCCCACTCTCCAGATGGGAATGCTATTATGGGTGCATTTGGATTGTGGGCTGGCTTTATAATACTACAAGCAGAGAGAGAGACCAGTGTTTATCTTCTTCCTTAATCCTTTACTCATTCATTCAGCATCAATATCTAGTGTCTTAGCCAGAGCCATGCATCACCCTAGGTGCTGGGGATACAGAGATGGGGCCTGGCACAGGAAGAGTTTATTACAAGACAGCAGGCAGGCACTTGTAGAATATGAACACGGTGCATGCCAGCCCAGAGCAGGAGGTGGCCAAGAAAGCTAGAGGAGCCATGAGAGGCAAATGCCAAAATGCTGCAATTTTAGGAACATGGTGGATTTCACTAAAAACTGGGGAATGGACCTTTCAGTCAAAGGAAATACCATACAAAGGTGTGAGTGTAGAAGAAGCCAGTACAGCTGCAGAACGACAAGTTCAATGCGTTGAAAGTTTGGGACCCATAATGTAGTGTCATGGGGGAGCCCAGAGAAGATCGTGGAGAGGTCTGGCTTCTCCAGGGGGCCCTGGGGTGCAGGAGACAAAGCAGCAGTTGTGACAAGACTTTGGGAAGATGAGCAGGCAGAGGGTGGACTGGAGAAGGAAGCAGCTGAGGGGCTGCCCAGGCAACAGTGAGGAAAGCAGTAGGAAGAGGAAGTGGTTTGGAAAGCTCAGTCATGAACCTTGCCTGGCAGCCTGGCTGAGCACCACCTGTAAGGAGCAGCCTGCTGGGGGCAGGCGTACCCACTCTCCAGATGCTCAAATACCAACAAGTGAGAGGGGCAGCAGCCACAGAATAGGACCCCACCCTCCCTTCCCACTTTCCCCCAAGAGCTCCTGCCATGCCTGCACCAGGCTCAGCTGAAGAGACAATAGTACTTTTCCTGGTCCAGGGCTAACCAAGTTCCACTTCTCAGCCAGGCCTCTGTCCTCCATGGGAACGTACCTGACTGCCCTGATCCCTGCAACTCAACAAGTCCCATGGCCTTGGAAAGCTGGCTCTGGTTTGCCTGGCACTGGGAAAACATGGAGCCCTCACAGATGCTCTCCCAGCTTCTTCACTGTCCACAATGCTCACTTTGGCATCGCTCGCATAAACACTGCCTCCTCCTGTGTTTCAACTTTCCCCCGTCCAACACTTGCCACCCAGAGAGCATAAACAGAGAACAGGACTCATATGCTTTTCAGAGAGTATTAATATCCTCGGCCTTTATCTTTGGAACCACTTCTCTGCCCAGCATTGAACAAAAGAGGCAGTCGCTGATTGATGAGTAGAAAAGTGCTTAAATTCCACTGGTATCCTGCAGTCTCTTTTGAGGATGGGCTGGTGGTGCAGAGAAAACCACAGGCTTTGGGGGTATTAGAATCCAAAGCTCAGCTTGGCCCCTTGCTGCCCACGGGGCCTCATGCAAGCCACAGAAGCCTCAGTTTCTTCTTCCTTAAGAGACAGGTGACAATCTCCACCTGGCAGCGTTGCTGTGAAGGGCCAGAAACATGTGGGACAGCAGAGCCTGGCTCTGGGAGGCACTCGGTAGATGTGGAAATGTGTGCTGCGTGCACCACATGGGAGGGTTTCTCTCTGGGGAACGCACCAGTTTGAAAATCAATTCCGCAAGTTGCCAACTCCTCCTCATCTAAAATGGCGAAGTGCTTAGAGGTATCAAGCCAGACCTGGCTGCCAAGAATCACTTACAAACTGGAAGAACCTGTCTCCTCCCAACCCCAGCTGCCTCTTTTCCTCCCCCCCAGAAGAATAATGAACAACTTAATCTTAGGCCTCCAGTGGAAAGACCCAAAGGTGGTGCTGAGGCCGCTGGGTGGGCGTGGGAGCTCCAGGAACTAGCTCTTATCTAGAGTGAGATAAGGGAGGTGGAGGGAGACAGCCAGACAGAAGATAAGTGCTGCTTTGGACTGAACCCCGCAGCCCGTACCAGGCTCAGACCTGCCTTCCTGCATCTAAAGGGTCTAGTCTCAGCCTTTAAAATCAGCTCTCTGGTTGAAGTCAAAGACCTTAAAAATGACTCTAATACCTGCGAGGTAGGTTTCTCACAGAAGAACACGAGAATCTTTATAGAGTCTGGCAAACTTGGAGGTGAACCAGGTCACGTGCCCTTGCTGGCTGTATGACCCTAGGCAAGTCTCTAATTTATCTCAGGTGTTTTCTCATCTGTAAAATGGGGATAATAATACCCACTTCATAGGGTTCTAAGGATTAAATTAGACCATGTAGGTGATGCATTCCGCATCTGGTGGTTACATGATAACCAGCACTGATTGCTATTCTTCAAATGGCTCAGACCTTATCAAATTGAATGGAAGAGAAAGGGAACCTAACTGATAACCACTAGGACTAGCTTTCCAGGTCAAGGAATTATGTACTTTAAAACTAGAGGCTGTAGTCTTTTGATTCAGATTGGGGCTCAAATCTACTTCCTATCTGTGTCTCCTTAGACACCTCACTTATGAGTTTTAAGTGCTCCATACATGCAGTGGGGAAGGTTTGGGTAATGAACTGAAAACCTACATAGTACAAGGTGGTTTCATTAATGGAATAGAAAGGCTGGCTTAGATGGACTCTGAGTCTGAGCCTGAGTCTGAGTTTCAAGCCTCTTCTTCCAGAAACTGGATTGTAACACTTTCGGTGGCTACCCCTCTCCTTCTAAGAGAGAAGAACTAGTTAAGTCAAAGGATCTTGGGTAATAGCTCTTGTTAATGTCTTCCCTGTCAGCCACCACCCAACTGTTGCCCTTTTAGAGTTTGATGTGAAATATAAATAAAACTAGCTACCCAAAAATATGAAAGGTTTCTGCATTTTCTGGGAAGAAACAAGATGTGATGCTTTAGTTTCCAAGAATAGCCTTGAAGCAATTTGGTTTTTGCCAACTGAAGTCCCTTATTTGTGGTTCTGCCTTATATGTGACTTCATGAATCACAAGGCAATTCCCTTTCCCTGCCTCTGGCTGCCACAAACTAAAACCCAGGGCCTCAAACTGCCGGTGGCAGCACTGGTAATGGGCCTGGCCCATGGCATCTGGGAGACAAGCCTAAGGTTTATGCAGAATCCCTAAGTACCTCTCAAATGAGAGAAGGGGCCTCCTGGCCCAAGAGTTGCCAGTGCACTCACATTTAGGACTGTCACACCTCCTGCCTGCCCTGAGCCTCATCACCTGTCTAACAACATCAAACAGTGTGAGCAGGTGGTGGATAAATGGCGGAGTCCTATCAAAACTTAAGGAGGGCTGGAGGGACACTGGACAGAACCTTCCCACAAAGCAGCAATTTAGCTCAGGAGAAAAACTCAATCCTGAACCCTACCCTCAAGGCATAAGATGAGAAACCTTTTGAGGTAAATGCAATCTAAAAACCAAACCCTCTCACTATTGGCATTCCCAAGCTCCCCATTCCAACTTACCAGCTCCCAGGTCTACCTCACCAAAAGGCCACTGGGCAGGGACAGTTTCCTTAGCAATGAAATGGGGTGTTTGCCACCATGCACTCACAGAGTGGCTGGAAGGACTGGGAGCTCTAGGTCTGTACCTTGAACACAGAAAACCTTTGGTCATGGCTACCTGGATCCAACACCTGAGATAAGGCAGGAGCTGCTCAGAGCTTTGGCAGTGGGAAACGCCCCCCACACACTGCATTGATCTTTGCAGAGCCCAGCATGGACGCAACACTTAGTCTACTGGCAATACCTGCAGACATCATCTTCTCAGTGGGTCCAGGGAGGGCTGGCTTTCCACCTACGAGGGCATGGGGCGACCGACTTGAATCAAAAGGGGTAACTCTCAGAGTTGGGAAAGGACTGAAAGGGCCCCCTTGTTCTTCCAGCCAGGAGTCCCCAGACTTCCCTTGGTCACCTACCAAAACGGAGAGCACACTGCCTCCGGGAGCAGCCTGCTCCACCCTTACCTCCTCGCATTAGAAGACAGCCTCAGTAAGATCAATCCTGTCTCTCCAACAGTT